ACAAAACGTTTGAGAATGCACGAAGTCCACCGTCTGATTCTGGGAATCATGACAACTTCGGACTAGATACATTCTACTAAGTCGCCCTGACAACAAGACCAAGTTGCGACAACGAAGTCAACACACTTTTACTTATTTTTTGTTTAAAAGTAGGTTTTTGAGACTACAAGTGGATCATATATATGAGAGGTTGTTTGACCTTGTTTTCGCAACTTGTTCATATTGGTCTTGTCTCTTTGACGAGTTGTTGTGTGGTGCTAAGCATTGCGAGACTCACTGACGAGGCCGACTACGAGGCAAGCGAAACGTCTGGGAATGTACCACGTCTACGGTCCTACTCTTGAAATGAGCATGCATACAATGGACTCCGGACCAGGTGCGTTCCTCTAATTCTTCCTACCAAACAACTTCTGTAGAATGTTAGTTAATATACGCCTGCGTGGTTTTCCATGCCAACTTCTGATTGGACGATGCGGTGTCAAGCTTCGATTGGACAACGCGAAATAAAGAGTCAAAACTAGTCACACACTCACGTGATCTCTGCGCCAAAGGATGTTGAGCCATGGCTACATATGGGATTATTCAAAAACGAAACATTGAATGGAAAACGTGTGGGAATAGGTCACTACCATGTGATTAGCGAGCAGCTTACTCATATGAAAGTAATCTATCAAGTCAAAGAGGACGCCATTCTCAATATATCCGCTAGTGCAAAATGAAGAGAAAATCACTCATCATTCGTTAAACTTACTTGAAAATAAAAACTCATCCATTTTTATTATCCTTGATCTCCTTTGGAAACAACTTTTGGGAAAATAAGGCTATGTGAAATTCAATGGAAACCTCAGCTCTTCTCATATCATTGTGGGAAAATTCTACTACCAGTCCTTCATCACCTTAAACGAAATAGGGTGAATACATCTCTTTATTATGTCTAACATAAAGCAGCCTAGATAGAATTCATTTTATTTTCGTCATTATTGCGCTTTATTACTACTTTTTTATTCTTAGCCTCTCATTTCTAATATTCCAAGGTTAACCATCCATTTGCATCCAAATCTCGAAGAAAAATACCAGTGATTCGATATCAATTGGTAAAACATGAATTCATCGAAGTTACTTCACGATTTTTTTCATGAAAAATATAACTAGTTTGAATTTAACTCATTTTATTATGATCTCATTCGAATAGAGGTGTTCCACCAATAACCTCTGACTCAATTTCACATTCATCCACACCTCGGAGTATTTTGAATGTGCCATTGTCTCCCCATTGATCATTCCATGAATTGACAAGTTGCCAGTATTTCGTACCTCCCTCAACACCCCAACCAATCAGCTTCACCGCGTGTCCACCCAAGTAATGTCCAGCAAGATGTTGATAGACGCCAGATTTGTAACTCGGAAAGTCAGAATACACTAAAAAGTCCGCTTCCATTGGCCCATTATTCATAAGTTCCGTCATTATCTCCGTCTCACCTTCAACTTGATATGCATCATTACCTATAAAATTTAAAAAGATTTAATTTCATATACAAAAAGGATTTTTATAGTAATTTAGACTAGACATAGAAATATTAAATTTGTTCCTATTACACATCGCAAGGTATACGCATGAGATGGATTGCACCAACTGCTTCCATTTATTCACCTTTTTTTAAGTTATATATCTACAATTGAAAGACATTACCGTCCTTCATAAACTCGATTTAGGCATTAGGGAAATTTTCTAATATGCGAATATAAAGTATAGAGATAAGATACTTATCATAATTAGCATTTTGAGCTATAGTTTATTTGTGAGATGTCACTTACAAATATAAAATTTATAATTAACTTACCAAACTGCAGATCTTTTCCGTAGGATCTTTCATATCCCTTCCGGCAACGTCTCACACACTCAGGTGTAGCATAACTTCCATTGCATCGCGGCAATTGGCCTGTGCCAACGTGGTCGCAGGGGGGAAACCCGTAAGGCTTGCATCCCTTATTTGACTCATAGCCTCCACCGGTTACAATTCCCATGGTAGTCCAATAGATCCAGGCGCGAGTTGGGTAGCCGCCGTCACAGCCATCGCCGCAGAAGGAACCACAGCAAGAAAGCAAATCCTCTGCACTTACCTCATCATGATATTTCCCATCGGAGTGGATGCAAAGTCGGTCTGTCATCGCACTGACAGCCCCAAATACCTATAGATAAATGTTATTCTATTTAAATGAAACAAATTAACCAGGAAACGAATATT